ATGTATACACCACATAAGTCCCCCTACTGGGGTTAACAGGGCCAGTGCCATTGATATAAAAATGTGTATGTAATTTTCTTATTTTAATTTTTGTTCATGAAACCAGTGAACACAACCTTAATAAATCAATAATTCATAACTTGTCATAGTACTGGAAATTTGTTTGCAGTCCTGATCAACATTAAAATAAAAAAAGTGGACCAGTTAACCGTCTGTTCCACTACGGCATACATGATCTATGTAAACTCACCCTAGTAGAATTGAGTCGATCCCCGTCTACATAGTAAACCCTGTAGGCAGGATTGAAATTTTCGAAAGTTGTGACCGAGGGACCGAGGTACGCAACAGCAATTGGTCGACCTGTAAATTTTAGGATTGACTTATCTCTAGATTTGAGCGCCCGCCACCGCTTAAGCCATGCTGTTTTCTTACTGTATTTCTGCGTTTCATAGAACAATTCGAACTCATCAGCGTGGCTATGCCCGTAGAACTGGGCAACTATGGTGTCTTGGAAACGGTCTACGATAGAGTAGAAGTTGCTGGACCAAGTCTTCATACAGTCGAAACTTCCTGGTGGAATGTGGCCTGATAAAACAAATGAAGGTTAGGAATTACTAGATCTTTAAGAATGTCAACAGAACTAACTTATATTGCTATAGTTGCTGTGTACGTAAAAGCTGAAAATATTGAAGTCATAATAAAACTATAATGAGCAAACGTTCGAGTACTTTTGGTTTTCCACACCAGAATTGCGAAAAAACAAATATTTTCACATAAAGCTTCACTACCAAAAACGGAATGTAGAAATAGTAAACTACAGAGGCGAATTCACCTTAATGAATGAGATAGGAAACAAGGTTTTATATCTATCTAACCTTTAAGGATCATTTCATAACTTTTTACAATAATAATTGACATGTTTGCGGAACATCACCAGTCAGCTGTCCTGTAAGTCGCGAAGTCATCAATGTAGATGTTAGAGAATACTTCAGTAGAGCTAAGAGCCTATAACAATGAAAATAATACAAATGAGATCTCCATAAGGATATTTTGGAAGCAACTACGTGAGAAGATCTCTGAATTGACCTTGGCTAACAATCTTCAAAAAGTTTTTCTGAAGACAGAAAGAAAGAAGTCGGTTTTTCGGTTCAGTGTCATTCCACTAAAGTGAAAAAAAATGATTGAATGTCAATGCTAGCAGCAAAGCAGAAATGGTTCCAGTTATTCAGAGGTGAAGCCCCAAAAACAATTCTCTCCAAGGTTATACCGACAACCTGCTGCAAAGTATTCGGAAAGACGTGAAGTATAAAACCAAAAAATATTAACTGGTCATATCTAGGCCACATTGACAACCGTTAGCAACAGTCAATTAAAAAAAATTTTGCTACAATTTAGAATTAGTACAGTGACAATTTTCACGTACCTCATTGAAGCTCGACGATAGTGATGACTTTTTCACTATTACACGTCTGTGTAATAGTAGTAGCAGCTATCAGTGCTTTCAGAATTCACCATACAGCTGAGATGAAACCTGATTCGGTCCCCAGCGGGGCAGGCACAAAGTATATGCTCTGCTGTTTCATCGTTAATGAGGTAGTTGGATAGTCAAGGTGCAAAATTATCACCTTGATACCCGCGACAACCTTTCCATATGAGGGTTTTTGCACGTCAACTACACCTGACGATGATTTAGATTCACACGTGCAGGGCCTTTTCGCCTCTGGTTTTGGTGAATCATCACAGAAAATATTAATGCATGTAGGAGGTAATGATTTTTTTTACGGACAAAACACAAGCACTACAGGAAAATCCTTAAGGCGCTCTAAGAGGTGTGCCTGTGCGAAAGTAGCGATTCACGTCGGATTTGAATCACTGAAGATTAAATTCATTTGGAAAAACGTTCTCAGGAAGTTTATTCCGCAGTTCTCCAGATGAAGAGTTCTCAAACAGGAAAGTTCGAGGTGTACTGAGTTGAATCTCAAAACGATGAGCAGCCACAGTACGTCGCATATTTCTGATATGTACCACTCTTGGTGGAATCAAATGTGCCAAGTCACTTGAATAACTCGTGAAAGTATCTATAAAAAAACAAATCTCCAACTTTTCTTCGATGTTCCAGACTATCAAGGTTGCAAGTTTCGTTCGTGTCTCCAATCAGGCGGATGGCTCTTTTCTGGATGAAATCCAGCAGCCTTTGCAATTACAGCGACATAATTGTGCCAAGACATATTGGTGTCCATTTTAACCTTCAACAAACTTATCGAAGCAGAAAGCGAAAGCGGAATTGTCTGTCCTGACATTATTATAACCTGTTAGGAGACATTCATCCTTTTGGAGAAAACCGATGCCTGGATTTTCGTGGCATTGAGTTGAACTTGATTACTTTCACCCCAATTCGAAATCACCTCTAGATCCTTATTAAGATATGCAAACCTCCTGTTGCCGAAGAAGATGTGCATCCACAGCCGATGTCCTGGAATCCAAATGGAATGTCGAGACAAGGGTGATGTCGTCAACAAAGCAATGTATTGGATTCTTGTTTTTTTCCAATTGGTCGTTGAAGACAATATAGATCCCTGGGGAACACTAGCGTTGATGATGAAACGTACTCGAGAGATATGCGTCGACGGCCACTTACAGGGAACGTTTTTTCAGGAAGCTGGAGAGCCATACACAAAAATGATCCAACAAGCCATAGCATCAAAGTTTGGCGGGCAAACCCTCATGCTACACACGGTCAGAGGCCTCAGAAATACCAAGCACCAACAGCTCTTGGCTCTCCATGTTTCTCGATTGCTTTATTCCAAATATGGGTGACATATGATAGAAGGTCGCCTTTGATCTTTGTTTCCGAAAGCTATATTGATGATCGCTCAAGATGTTGAAACCTTCCAAATATTTGAGGATATGGTGGTTTACGACTTTCTACATGATTTTTGATATCACTGATAACAAAGCGACTGGTTTATAGTTATTCAGAAGATTTTTTAGCTCTTGATATCGAGTTTCGTAAAATATGTATAACATGTGAATTCAGGCGAATTACTTCAGACAATATGACCTTTTGGAAAAAACCTTCATCAAAAAAACTGAATTTTTTTTTTCTGTCGCAACATACAGCTTGTCAAATCTAGGAAGAGATTTGGGAATTCTCCCTCTCTATTTCTCTCTCTCTCTCTCGCTCTCATAGTATTCTAACGAACACACATCTAAAGCAAGTGAGCCATCATTATCCTCAAGGAGGCAATTATTTACTCTAACATACGCCTCCTCTATATTATCATTTCCGCAAAAACCTGTTCACCATAACGTAATTGGGAATAGGTTTCGAATTGTCTTTGAAAAGAAGAAGAGGGCCGACATTCCCTTTTATGCGAGACTGAACCGGTATTTATCTAGTTTACACCTCCAGAGACCAAAAACCTTCATTTCCTCAAATATTCCAACCCTTCCACCCTGGAGGATCCCCAAAATCATAATTGACCATACTCTCTCACAATATGATAAAAGTCAGATGAACCACGGAATAATCAATGCAGAATTTCATCGTCTTCTAAAACAATATGCAGACTTCAACTTTCTCTACACAGATGCATCCAAAACTATAGACGGAGTCGGATCAGCTTTCACTTTCGCAGGTTTTCAAGCTTCGTACAAACTACCAAGAGAGAGCACGGTATTCACTGGAGAAACATACGGTATATGGAAAGCCTTGAAGTACATAAATATTAAAAAAATTGGAAAATGCCTCATTATAACAGATTCCATGAGTGCTCTTCTGGCAATGAATCAATCAAACACCCAAATTCTCATTATACTTTCCATAAAACAAGAGCTTCATGTAGGTACTCAAACAAAGGCAAACAGTAATCAGATTCATGTGGGTCCCATCTCATGTGGGCATCCCAGGCAATGAAAGAGCAGGTCAACTGACGAAAGCAGCCATCTCAAATCCATTGACACTGAACTCAAAATAAATCACATTGACCTGAAATCTTTCTACAAACAAGAAATCATCAACAATTGGCAACGTCAGTACTCCCATGGAAAAATATTACCAAAAACAGAAGACACCAAGTTATCCTGACTCGTTTGCGACTGGGACATACCCGCTTAACACATGAATACCTCATAACAGGTGGTGACAAACCAAGGTGTGAAGTGTGTGGAACAGACCTGAGTGTAAAACACATTCTAACAGAATGCTACATCACATCGACAGATTCACTCATCGCATTCCACAAACAATGAAAGACATACTTGGTGAAAATTGTGACACTGAACAATTGATACCTTTCCTCAAAGATATACACATTTTACGACATATATGAATTAATTTTAAATATCATATACTAATTGAATCATTTGTATTATGCCGTTGTTAATAACCCTAGCGGTTGATGCAACTTTCTTTAAATAAAAAAAAAAAGAATACCATGGTCCAGCCTGTCGAAAGCCTTGGAGAAATATATGTAAGTGTATTCTACTCGGAAAGACACTTCCAAAGCAGTAGATATGAATGGAGAAATACAGGTCATCAGGTTAGTTACCACTAACCACCTTTTAAAAGAACCGAGTTGATTGTCAGCAATCTGGTTTATGATGTGTGCATATTGACATCATACAAAACTACTTCAAAAAGTTTACTGAAGTTACAACGACTGACGTAATGGAAATGATTAATGATAATGATGGAGTGATTATTCATTACTCTTTTAGTTTAATGAGTTCAAGTCTACGAAAAAGCAAGCTATGTGTGATGTGTTCATAAATTAATGGCATTACCTATTATATGTACCTTCTCTCCATTGTCTTCGGCGTTTTGCAATTCATGTATCAACCATTTTAGTTCCTTGCCCGGGTCTGTGCTGTTTACCAACAACCACCTTGAAATAAAAATGTTGATAATGAATGTTCGTTACTAGCGGAAAAGAAATGTACTGTGTTCTGTGTGTGATGGATAATACAAAAAAGATTGACAGTCATTAGTTCAAATAATGAGTGGAGCATTAAAATTTAGAAAATTCAACACATAATTTCCTCAAATTTTCAATCGATAATGAAATGAAAGATAACAAACCATTAAATCAAATCGATAAATAATCGTTTTTTTTGCCTAAAAAAAATTATACTATTGCATTCTTAGATTGCCTTGTGGCCAATGAACAGGGCCAATTTTCAGTAGACTCCAAAAATCATATACGATTTGTTTACAAAAAACTAGATCGGATATTCCTCGAGAGTAAAAATCTTTCCTCGATCGTACAACTTCAATCTAGTGGAAAATAACCTCCTACATATGTCCTAAGTTGAATTATTATATCTAGTTTTAGGTGAATTTTCATTTTTCTCAAAAAATATTTATTTATTCGTCAATTTATATATTGCCAGCGTTTTTTCTAGTCCTCGAGGCAGTTCTGATATGCACTATGCACTTTTTGGTATTCGATTATTATCTCCTCAATCGTCACAAGAAGTCGTCTTTTTATGGGTTTCTTCAATCCTGGAAACAGGAAAAAGTCACAGGGGGCCAAGTCTGGTGAATACGGTGGCTGAGACATGATTCTAGTGTTGTTATTGGCCAAAAAATTACGAAAAGCTGTGCTTCGAATTGCTTTTCGCAAGCGGCGCATAACTTCCAGATAATACTCCTTATTGACCGTACGACCATGTAGCAAGAACTCCTGATGCACTACGCGACGGTAATCGAGGAAAACAGTGAGCAAAAACTTGACATTTGATTTAACTTGGCGTGCTTTTTTGGTATTGGCTCTTCTGGGCTCTTCCATTGGGACGATTGGACTTTGGTTTCGATGCCATAACTATATACCCAAATCTAGATCGTCGTTGACATTATTCAATAATTCCTGAGCGATGCTCATCTGACGTATTCTTTTGGTGAAAATTCAGTTATTTTGGAACGAACTTCGCTGCCACACGCTTCACGCCCAAAATTTCTGATAACAATGCATGGCATGAGCCAACCCATATGCTAACATCCTCAGCAACTTCTTTAATACTGATTCGACGATTCTTCATAACAATTTTCTTCACTTTCTCAACATTGTCATCGGTTGTTGATGTGCTGGGACGTCCAGGGCGAGCATAGTCATTCACATCTTCTCGACCTTCTGTGAAAAGCTTGTACCATTTGTAAATATTTTTCTGAGTCAGAGTACAATCATCGTATGCCACTGTCAACACTTCAAGTGTTTTTTTAGCACTCATTTTCATTTTTTACACAAAATTTGATGCAAATTCTTGGATCTATATTTTTTCATAGCAGGAAATTGCCTAACACGCAAAACGTTTATACCTCTCACCAACAAACTGAACATGATAAACAGCTGAAACTGTGAAGAGTGTACCAATATAAAAAAATTAAAAAAATCGCTGATCGAATATACGTAGCTCGCGAAATTTGAACATCACTTCATTTTTGAACAGTCTGCGTACGTAACAATCAAGAGGGTTTTATACCCTTTGAAAAATTTGAACTCCTTCCTTCATGGTCACTTTTAATTCAACCGGAGAAAAATTCATTGAAGTCTTTCAAATTCATCCATGTGATCAACCAGGATTTCACAATACTCGGAAAGCTAATGACGAGTACTAGTATCAAGTTCAAATTAGATTTTTCAGACTGGGCGTGAGTTTTGTATTCTAAGAAAATCTGTTTTTAAAAATATCCTCTTTGATACTTTCAAACTTTTTCTATATAGGTGTGAAGAATATTAAAAAAACTTGTTTTATTTCGAAAGACACTGAATTGACATTTTAAAGAAATTTTTGAAAGTAGACAGCGGTGATTTCTGAAACGTTATCATTCAAAATTCATAAGCTTTTTGTTCTGAAATATAAAGCAAAAATAATATTCAATTGTATTCAAACTCGTTTGACAAATTTTAGCAATTTTAATAAGTAGTTTTTTTTTCACATTTTTAACTAATCTACTTTCAAGGAAATCAACAAGATACATGTAAGAAATTAACAAAAAATAAATAATAATTACACAAAGAAAATTTCCCTGGGTTATCTTAAAGGTGCGATTTTGTTCCATCCTTTACATAAAAGAGGATGTATGCTTCTCCACTCACAAGCGATTTTGGTGAAATTGGTGACACGTGTGAATCGTTGTACTTGTGCCACGAGCCACTATACGGGTGTCTGCAGTATGCTGTATAATGCCCTCTGTTAGTAGTCCCACTGTGATTTAAAAGTGCATATAGATTATAACAACAAGTAGCCACATTTTCTGCTGCAAAATTGTCCATATCCAATTCTTCTAGAGGAAATTCGATGACATCAATTAATTTGCCTCTACTTTCCGTTGGACTGAATCTCTTTAAGTGTATGACTAAAATATGGGAGAACTTGTGAATTGATAGGGACTTTGTACATTTTCTCCTTTCCTTGCATTTCGAACACGTCGGTTTTTCATTTCCATCCAAAGTGTCTTCTCTTGTAAACGAATCCAAGCATTGCCACAAACTCAATTGGTCGGTTCTTTGTGGTATGGAGAGACAAATCCCAGAAAGGATCAAATGTTACTGATGAGTGTCCACAGTGTGTGCATTTCATCGTGAATTTCAATTGGCCAACGAAATTATCTACAATCTTAGAGTTATGCATCCTCAAATATGTGAGCTATGACTCTTGTGCATTTCCGCTGTCGCTCAATTTTTCGTCAACCTCCGTTAAAATTAGTTTAGGTTTCTCATCAATTATAAACGTCTTCATGTAAACCTTCTGGAAGATAACAAAGAAACTCCTGGGCATCTTGATGGGAATTACCCATCTCCACATTTCATTGAAGTTTCTTGATTTTACGAATGTGGAAACCCATAAATGTCAAGAATAAAGTTATGCGTTAAATCTAAGAAGATTTTGATAGAACTTTTTCAAAAATTTTCAAAACCAACGTTGGACGGGCGGTAATACTCAGATGCGGCAACTTCAGACTAATTGCATTTATTGCCAGCTCAAGTACATGATGTATTTGAACTGTATTCGAAAAAATCTAAACACTCGAATTTGTGGCAGGTTAGTGCATCAGCATTTTGCGACTTTCGATTCATAAAACACACGTTATTAACCGTGTTGAATACGGTGTTCCACGGGGGCCTGTGCTTGACCCTACTCTGTTTATTTCAAATGTCAATGATTTTTTTTAATGCATCACAATTATTGCAGGGAATAGAGTTCTTGAAAAGGGTAGTACGAGGTGTGTTACGTTGAAGCTCGAAGTATTGGAAATCTCTAATTTGGTTCAGTCCGTTCAAAGCTGAACCTATGTTTGTATTGAAAAGAAACAACTTGCCAACCTTCACAAATTGCGGAAAAACAAAATGAGTTCTTCATGAAAATCACTGCTTAAAGCAAACAATTTATTTTCAATCAAGCACCGCTTGATTGATGATCCGGTACTGATGATGCACAACAGGCTGTAATAGGTGTCTACCGGTGGCAGTTTAATTGATATCAAATTGTGAATTATCAGGATAGTACTCCTCAATTTATCTTTTCATTTTCATGAAATAATTTTTTTAGCAGGTTGACGGCATTGCAAAGACCAGTGACGAGACCAGGCAAATTGATGCCTCATTTAACCTTACTTTCCAGTTATTGAAAGTGGCTCTGAAGCCGAAGCCGAGACGCCGAACCACCAAAAAACTTAAGATGCGATACAACCCGAACTTCAGAATCAGACGAAAGTTTCTTATTTGGAGATATGATAAAAATCTTTTTGCAGACCAGTTTTTCATCATTTCCGAAAATTTCGAGTATCAAAGGAAAAGATATGTTACTCTAAAAATCTCACAAAATAAATTTGATCTAGGAAGAAATGAAAACTATTGAAAATGTAAGTTACAATTTTATAATTTCAATAAAAAATTTCATGTGCATTCCTATACAGTACTCACCAGCTAAGCGTATGACAATAGTTTGTATTCAAAGAAATCAGCCTGAAACCCGGTCTGAGCAGAACTGAATAGAATCCTCCATGTAAAACCGTATTCCCAGTTGAAGATGGCAGCCATCTTCTCCATTGGTCAGCCATAGTTTGGTAGAGCCAGTTCGCAGAATGGTCATCAGTGTTCATCCAGGGTGGTGCGAAACTATGAAAAAATTATCACAATTTTGAAGTTTCATTGGAAACCAGTGAAGTTTTCAGATATTTAATGAATTCAATCAGTGAAGTATATCTATTGACGAACTATCGCTGTCAACGTTATCACGTTCACGCGTGTATCCTTTATAAATATATAAATAAGGGGTGTACTTGTTCAAATTAAATAACTTTATTTATTGACAAAAACTATAACTGTAAACTGTACCAAAATTATCATTTGTAAGCAATGTCTACATTTTGCTATTTCACAATGGCTTTTCTTGCTCTTAAATTATTCCACGAACTGATTCAAACAGCTCGATCTTCATGTGGTGCCTAATATATACCCTATTCGGATACTTTCGAGAGTTCCACGAATTTCTCGAAATCATTCGACAGTACTCCATAGGACCTTACTTGAAATTTTCCAACTGTATACAGATTTCACCATTAGAAAATCATTTCTCTCTGGCTAATGAACAGTTGTTCTGTATTTCTAAATCTAATACATCATAGTCATGATTCAACTTTTGCCCTTCTGCCAAAATATGATTTTCGAAAGGTGAATTTGTCTTCTCATTTCAAAGACTGCAACTTTTTCAATCTGTTGAAAAAGTTATCCAATATAAAAGTTAGGACAAGAACCACAAATCAACTTATATACACCTGATCTATCTGACACTGAAATTTTCTCAAATTATTATTTCTATGAACTATGTTCATGTCTTCCTTTTTAAAAAATCGAGCGATATTTTCTATTGTGCCATCACAAATCAGTGCCAGGTAGGTAGGTAGATCCAAAGTGAGTGGGTCTATTCGACCCTCCACTACAATTTTTGACGGTTTATTGCGGTTCACACCTGTAGAAACTGTACTAAATAAATCCAGCTTCCTAATGCTTCAGGTCACTTGCAAGAATGGGACTGTACTGAACCCTAAGAGCCTGATCCGGTGGGACAGTGTATGCCCGTTTATTGAAGCCTGAATTTCCTTGCGAAGAGTAATCCACTCCAAAATTGACTGACCATGGTATAGTTTCACCAATCTAGTAGGGACCTGATCGGCAAGTTGATCAGTCTGCGACTTTCGTTGTCGAGCAGGTAAGCAACAAAAATGTGTGGCTTGGGAAGTAGATCTGTAGAGCATTTCAGAGAGATGCCCTCCCATAAAAGCAGGGCACTCACTGCACTCACCGGTGACGCTCTCCTGATACTCCCATATAGCCCCTCCTACCCAAGATGTGCAGCTCTGGGATCGTACTTGTGAACCATATTCTTGAAAATTTTTCACGGTAGCCATATTGGCACATTGAAGAGATTCCAGTTGATTGGTCGAGATTGGTATTATCGGTTGTCCAAGGTACAATTTTCACACATTTTCGACCGTAACAACTTTCTCATATGGCATCTGTGAGTTAACTGTATCTGATGATACATCAGATTCAGTCATGCAGAACTTCTTCGCCTTTAATTTGGGTGAATCATCGTATGAGCATAAGCGTTTGTTAACCTGCACAGGGGAAGTTTATTTCCTCTCCTAATGCAGATTCTGCTTCTGCTGCTCAAGAATTTGGTGAAAAGTAAATACATTATGTAGCCTGGTCGTGAGGAGGCAATTATTTACTTTTCAGCTTCACTACTTAACTTCCTAAGATTGTGAGCAGGGATGTCACTGGGAGTCGTTTAACCAATAATTCACAAAATCCAATAATTCCTTCTCACACACTATTTACCGAAAACCAATCCATATTAACCGCTACGTCTATGCTAAGTCCCATTATCCGGCTCAATTAAATTCCGTTCTAAATTCTCTCATACAGGGGTCTATCAGACTCTGTGACAGCCACAATAGATCCGAGGAACTAGACGCATTAGACAAACACTACCAACTCCACCATCGCTTCCACTACCGGTCCGACCTTCCACTCGTCCAAGGACATAAATACCATACCAGAACCGGTGGACCGACAGTCGACGCTTGAGAGTAGGCAGATTAAGGCCCTAGCAGAAACAAGACCTGGTTAGTAGGCAGATTGAGGCCCCGGCGTCAAATCACAAGACCCTTGTAGTGTGTCAGTACCGGAGGAGTAGTCAATAATACCTCAGTGGAGTGATAGCTCCTTGAAAATGGCTCCAAAGCTGAAACGGCGAACCACTAAAACACGAGACGCGGTCCCAAAATGCAAATTTTCGTGTCTACCCATTAAACGACCTATGGTGTTGAACATTAGACCTTTCAACCGAGTGAAATGAACATATTTATATAGGTGCTTTACAGGGCCATTGCCATTAGTGGGGATGGGAGGGAGCCTCTTTCCCCTGCTTTTTCGGTAATAGTAAAAAAATGAAAAAAAAAATAAAAAATAAAAATGAGAGAAAAGAAAGGAAGCGGTAATAAGAAAAGGAAAAGAAACAGGAGGAAGTTGGAGATCCCATACTTTGAAATTTTGAGTTGTTTGAAAACTTCTAAAACGTTTAGTTTCTCCCAAGTAAGAGAACAGTCCTGAACAGTCTACAAATTTTTAAGTGACAGTTTTACGAAATTCCCAACTTTTCGCTGTTTTTTCGACTTGGAAAAGTTGGGAAATTTCGGGCCGTGAAGATTGAAAAAATAATAGTATAAAACAATAAGCACAATATTATTTAAGTGTTGTTTCCTTTCATTTGTATTGAATATTCCTATACATGGTGGATATGGTGGAAGACCAAGGACCTTGGTCCAAAGTAGAATAATTCCCATTATTTTTTTTATAATTACCAAAATATATTTTTGTTTGTGCATACCCTAACGGGCATAAGCATTCTGTCAATCTTTGGATAGCGAAGTAAGATTATTAATATATTATAGGAGTACCTAATCCCTCGGCTTTCAATTTTTCGAAAGTTGGGAAATTTTGCTGGTGGGGTTGGGAATATTTGGATTCCCTCACCCCCCTGGTTTTTCTTTTCACTACGGCCCTGGGTGCTTTCATTTCACGTGAATCTTGAAATTTGGATTTTGAAATTATGTTTTTTGGAAATAATCTCAATCCGTAATTTTGAAAATTTTCATGTATGATGATTTAAGTTATCAAATTATTACAATCAAGTCATTTGCTCTGCAAAATTTCAAAAATAACCAAATTGCATACATTTTACCGGAATAATATTGGTGTACTCGGCATACAGCCCTTGAAAAATATTAAAATTTTTGCATGTTCTCCTGAAAAATAGATGACGCCACTTGATACAGTTTTATGCGACATATTCAGTAACTCAGCGTAGGTGACTAAGAATCGGTATAACAAATGCATTAGCACGGTTTTCAGGTTAGAGTAGAGGGCTCTCTGTCTGACAACAGAGAGATCCTCGCTGGAGTGCCACAGGGGGCCGTGCTCTCTCCGACGTTGTACTCACTACATCTGTAGAAGTAATTTTAATGAACAACGTAGTTTTTATTCAAACAGTTTTATTTAGCTTGCCCTGTTTGTTTGGGTCAAATTTAGTAATTGAAGTTGGACCTGAGCCTCTTCCTGTTATTTTGTACACACTATCAGTTTTGATGGCAATACAATTCAATAAATTCTGTATCATTGTAAATCCAAGACGGCCCCAGCTACAAAATGGTGGATCACATTTTTTTTCACAACTACCTCAATATGGGTATCAAATGACAGGGCTTGACTAGTAGAATAGAAGTACGCTTTGAAAAAAATAGAAATTCAAGATGGCTTCAGCTACAAAATGGCGGATTACATATTATTCAATGTCAATTAGATATCGTAAAATGTAAAATTGTTTTGTACTTGGAAGAGTTTTTCCTTTTTCTTGCAATCAGGCGTGGTGAATGAAAGTTACGTTTCGTATATTGCTGTAGGGACAAGAGAAAGAGAGAGAGAGAGGTGCGAGCACACGTTTTACGGTTTCAATGTTAATTTCGCGTTTGAAGATGGACAACTCTTGGTAAACTTTCTAGAAGACAAATTAGAACTACAAATGAATAATAACAGAAATGAACCCATCACAAAACATAGAAGAAACAAGATTCGATGCAGTTTTTTCTAGATATCTTTTTGATTTTCATTCGAAAATATATGTATCTTATTTTTCATACGAGAAGCCAATTGTCTCGGTCTTACAATCAACCATAGTAACTCCTGATGTCACCGATAATAAAAATTATGAATAAAAAACAAAAAAAACCTATTCATAAATGTTGATTTATCAATGAAAATCCATAATATATTTAAATATTTGTAGAAAATTAATATACCTATGTATATTAGGGTGTTTTTTTTCTGAAGAAAGGATGGTTGGGTAAAAAGTGGTTTTATCGCCAACATTTCGAATTTAACTGAATTCTTCTTCAGGGCTCTGTAACAATGAATTTTCAAAAACATACTTCCCACAAAACTTATACGATTACTTATCGTTTCAATTTTGCAACAAATAATGAGTTCTTAAACAAGTTACTCACCGAAAAGTAGTTTCTTTGTGTTAATATTACTATTTCAAAAACTATTAAACATATAAGATACATTTAAAAAAAATAACATTGCAACAACGAAATTTCCGAGACAATACCAAAACAAACCGAAATTATTATGTGATTCTGATAAATTGATGACTGTTTTTTAATCAATGACAGAAGAAAAAGAATGAAAGAAGGGGAAATTATACAGGTATTTAACTTATCAAATTGAAATATGCAGTATTAAGGCCATCGACATCATCGACAAATCGATTTTTCAATATAAAAAAAATTGTATTTAGAAAAAAATTAGTGTACAGATTTTGTAAAGAATTGAATTTGCTACAAAAAAAGTTCCTTTGAGCAAACACTATACAATCAACAGTTTTTGAGTTTTAGAGCTGGAAAGGTGAATGTTAATCGAAAGCAAATTTTTTTGAAATTGTGAATTTTCAATCTTACAGTAAATGTAATTTACAATAGGTGCTGTGAAATTATGGAATAATTATTTATAGACTATAATTTCTATTAGGTGAATGAATATAAACTTCAATGTACGTTAGAATTACTGAAATATTTTTTTCTTTCATTTCTGAGTTAATGGTAACAATAATGTTTGCTTATTAACTTTCGGACATTGCTTTCTCTGCATTGTAACTTGTAATAAATATTGTTTCTGTTCCTCATTATACGTTAAACTACGATCATATGATTTCATCAATTGAACTCCTCGTTCAGCAGTATCATTTACCTACGGCGCACAAATTTTTCAAAATTATTAAGCATGTAATAAATATTGTTTCTGTTCCTCATTATACGTTAAACTACGATTATATGATTTCATCAATTGAACTCCTCGTTCAGCAGTATCATTTACCTACGGCGCACAAATTTTTCAAAATTATTAAGCATGTATTATAATCTAAATCAGATTTCCATTGATCTGGATATTATTTTAGAAATTCAGCGGGAAGTTGAAATCGCCCAAATCCTACAAATTTTTAGTCGTGAAGGTATCAATCTTGACTTTTTTCAAGAAGTGTTAACTTTTTGAATTTGTAGTTTCGCTCGCTGTTTTATTCATTGATTCGATAATTTCAATTTTAATTTCTGAGCTTACATTATCATCGGAAAGTGATAAGCAAATAAGTTCTTCAGACAAATATCAGGGGTGAGTGCTAAATTTATGTTCTAATTGTTCGTTTCATATTCGAATAAATCCCAAAAACACTGAGGCTAGTTCGAGTGAAACTAAAGAAGTTTGAAAATTAAAACATGTGCGGAAATTTGAATTTGAATTCATTGATATTATGATTTCATTAAAATTTATCTATACAAAATGCCGTTTCTAAAAGTCAGAATTCAATAACTCTGTAGAATTCATTGTGAATAATGTAAGTTCAAAAGTTCCAATTTAAAGAAAATTTGGTATCGCTGAATATTAACATTCACCTTTCCAACTCTACAGCTCAAAAACTGTTGATCACAGAGTGTTTGGTCATAGATCTTTTTTTGTAGCGAATTCAAATTTTCTACAAAATCTTTATATCTTTTTTTTATATTTTTTATACCGAAAAATCGAGTTGAATAAGTGAACCATTTTTTCTGTTCTAGCAATAAAGACTCGAAAGCTAGAACAGAAAAAAGAGTTCACTCATTTTACCATCCCCTAATTGACTGCATATCCGAAAATTATAAAAGATTCTTGTATGTCAACTTGTATGTCACTGTTGGTGGTTTGACCAATCAACCGACAACTGCGGTAGCAGTAATTTGGGAAGCTAACCTGAAGTGCCATCGGAGAACGAATCCACATGTTTCTACATATGGATTCTAGGCACTCGTCAGTTTGAGAAGTGCCTAGAAGATGACAACGACCAGCTGTCGAAAACGCTCGCAGATAATTAATATAAGATATAAAGCTTCAATATAAAGCTTCAAAATTTTTTTGGCATATTTTGATATTTTGTTCATACTGAAAATGTTTTATGATATTTGAAGATAAATTTCCAAGATTAGGTATAGATATATAAGAAAAATTGATAGGTGAATTATCATTACATACATTTCTGTTGATTACATCGGAATTTGTATTACTGCCAGTATTGAAAATTATTTTATTGAGAAGTTTTCTGGATAGGAATTTTCGATCAATACGTCTCTAAGAAGTCTGAGATTTTTTTGCTTAAGGGAAGGGTGTACTAACTTTTCTATTCTTTTTGTCAAACACATTATCAAATTGATTTTAACTGATTTTTTATGAAAACAATAGTAATTGATATATCTTCCTGAATTAGTAGCTTTGTCATATCAATCATTGATCAAGGAATTATCAGTTTTACGGATAACTCTTGTATCATATCCGCTTGAGATAACTTACTTCCCAGCTGGTACAGATTCGTGATTTCCAATAGCCGGAAAAATAGGAACGTTAGGAAAATAGTTGAACATCTGCTGGACCGTTTCTTTAATGATCTCCAGGTTACCCTCTTTAGTTTGATTCCATATATCGTGTGGTGGTAAATCGCCAGTCCAAATAATGTAATCGATGTCCTGAAATACGGTTGATTCGTTGGGAAAATTAGGCCGAAATTCAAAAATGTCATCAACTCACCCAGTGTTGTAGAGCTATATTTTTCAACATATTTTCGATTAGATTCCTTGGTGCATCGCATTTGTCGTAGGATCCCCACCTGTAAATAGATGCTAAATTAATTCATAGAAAAATATAAACACATTTGAATGTGTGACATAATATTTTATTTATCAAATTCACTTTCACACTAACTTGTCAATCAAGTGGGACTCTCATTTAGGATATCTCCTGCGACGTCTGTGGCATCTTTATAGAAATAATTGCACATCACTTCTCATAACCTAAACCTAAAATATGCATGTCATCTCTACTCTCCTCTGATTTCGGAATAGTTACACGAATTGAATTTAATTTGGGTTTTGGGTTCTCTGTAGTATGGTCTACTGCTGGTTAATATATCAATTACCATAAATGGCTTTTAATGAAAGACATTTTTGGGTCTTATCTAAGAAAAACAGCATACAGTGTGCTTAAGTTCCAGAATGTTCCAGAATATTGTGTAATGCTTTAGAATGTTCTGGGCTGTTCCAGAAATTTCTAGAGATCGAAACTATTTGTGTTTGTATCTTCAAAATCACGTCCTTCGGGTGAAACCGGAAACCCTCTTGGATAGGGCATGAAGAGCTATCACATTTCCTTCATCGTTTTACAATGATCTGGGATTTTCTAGGATATTCCCGAACGTTCTAGACCTAGACTGTCATGGTGTGTAGGCTTTTCTCGGCCGGTGTCTAACAAATTGTCCGATGTTTTCGGGTTCATTAGCTGTGATCTGCAGGTCTGTGGTCTGCAGGTATAAAAACCTACAGACCACATCTAATGAACCCGGAACCATCGGACAATTTCCGACTTTATCTGAAAATTCCAGAATGTTCTGGAATGTTGTGTATTCCTCTTGATCTCGCCCGAATGTTCTGCACTATTCTAGACCTTTCTACCGGGCGAAACTTCCAGCCTTCGTATTTTCAGAAGCACGCCTTTCAGATAAAAACGAGAACCATCCTCGCGGATCGGGGATAGAGAGTCTTGATCGTTCCACAAGTATGTGGAATATCTTTGACTTTTTTCTTCAAACTGACATAATTTTTTTCATTCTCAGCCTATTGAAATGAGTCGAACACTAAATATAAAGTGAAACTCACCACAATTCAGTGAAAACCGCAGTCAAATCGGTTGACGTTTTTTCAAGATTAGCGTGCACAGATACACATTTTTTATATGTACTGTACTGATGTTGCTTTAAGCGATGCAGGATGATTCAAAGAAGATCTATTTTCTCATTCGTGAAGTACTACGTGGGCTGAAAAGTCTCGGGCTTAACACATAGATGGCGTTAGTCTTATTGCATTCACCGCTTTTTCAGTTACTACTAACCTCCAAAAGAGAGCTGTTGAAGTTTCATGTTATCCTACTCATAAGTTTGTGAGTTATTGTGTGATACTACATTTGTTATTTTCAAAACAATAGATCACAAACAATTTCGTATTTTAATTTTACAATGCTTCTTGATGGGAAAAATACTGTTCAAGCGTAGCAATGGATTGAAAATTGTTATAAGGACTCCGCTCTACCATAAACAACAATTAAATGTTGGTTTGCTGACTTCAAACGTGGTCGTAGAGACATCGATGATGCAGAACGCAGTGGACGTCTAAATGAGGCAGCAACACCAGAAAACATAAAAAAATCCACAAAATCGTTTTGAATAATTGAAAAGTGGAGTTGCATACGTTAGCTGATATTGTACAGATATCAAAAGAACATGTTTGCTTTATATTGCATGAGCATATGACTATGAGAAAGCTCTAATCAAAGTTGGAGCCGCACGAGCTCATTGTTGACCAAAAACATAGATGACGTGTTTGGCAGTGTTTCAACATAACAAACCGGAATTTCTGCGTCGATATGTGACAATGAATGAAACATGGATCCATCACCTCACTCCGGAATCAAAAACGATCGTCATCTGAGTGGACAGCAACTGATGAACCTCGTCCAAAGCGCCCGAAAGCACGACAATCGGCTGGAAAGCTTATAGCCTCGGTATTTTGGGATGTGCGTGGTGTAATATACATCGACTATCTTGAGAAGAAAAATACCATCAACAGTGAATATTATATAGCGTTATTGGAGCGTTTGAAGGCCGAAATTGCGAAGGAAAAAGAAAGTCCTGCTTCATCAAGACAATGCACAGTATCACAAATCAATGAAAACGATGGCAAACTTGCATAAAATGGGCTTCGAATTGCTCCTGCATATACCATACACACCAGATTTTGCTCCCAGCGACTACTTGTTGTTCGTAGACCTCAAAAAAATGCTCACCGGTAAGAAATTTCGCTCGAATGAAGAGGTTATTGCTGAAACTGAGGCCTATTTTGAGTCAAAAGATAAATCGTTCTACGAAAGTGCTATTGAAATGTTAAGAGTGGCGCTGAGATGATTGTGGGCTCTGGATGGAGATACGTTGATGAAAAAAGCCAATTTTGAACAAAAAAAAATACTCGTTTTCGTTTATATTCCGGGACTTTTCGGCCCAGGTGTTAATCAACGATAGTTGGAATTATTTGTTTATTATTTGTAATATGGTTCCATTTACATTTACTTTTTATTTCGGAAATATTCATTCGTTTATTTTCTCTTGCATGTTAATAATTTAATATATTATTCAAAAAATATCTGCCGCCTTTTAAAGCAGCCTAAAAAATTCTACATTTACATTACCTTCCTGATAAAATTGTTGTTTCTTTGGCAGAAGGTGTGCTGTAATTTCGGCAGCAAAGGGGTTCTTCACAATTTGCTGGGGTACCTACTTCGTATTCAGGATCAAGGTGGGTGTCGGATATGTGTAGGACTTTGAATATTGGTAAACCTGGCTGAAACAAAAAATCAAGGTTTGTTTATGTTCGCCAGCGGAAATATCTCGTATATGAATAAAGATACAAAAAAATGGAAAAAACCTTTGCCGGGACCAGATCTGGAGAAAAAACCTCGATTTTCTACCCCCTTCGCCCTATCAGTTTCCCTTTGAAATGTTTACTGGAAAAATTCATTGAAATATTGATCAGTTTCAATAAATTTTGGGGGTGTTCTATTCAAAGATATTAAAAAACTTACTGGATTACTTTAGCAGTTCTACTTAACGGCATCTCTACCATGTAATTATTAATGAAACAATAAGAATTTATTTTTCGTTGGGTCCGTATCTCTGTTCTGTAATGGATATAACGACTTAAACACAGAATAGACCAAATATTAAGTCAGTGGTGGTTAAATAAACTTGTGGCTGAGTCATTCCAATTTTCTCGTCTTTGCTATTTGCTTTGCTCGAAACTACTCAAGAAAAAGATAATGGTGCAAACTAGGATAGGCTCTAAGAGTATTAGGAAAAAACAATGTTTTGCTTTGCATACAATAAATAACAAGTCATAATTTATTCTCAAAACCATCCCATGTACCTTTTCTAAATTTCATTTTCAAATGACTCTCGATTCGATCAATTGTAATTGGGAGTACTACGAATCAACTGCGTTGATCTATATTCCAAACTGACAGCGGGTTTCCGGAACTTAATTACATTTTAACCGAATATGCAAGTGCTTGAACAAAAATATATGTAGATGCCTGAATAATCTCTATATTCAAATTTTGTAACAGTATTTTTGACTCTTTACATCTTCTCAGGGTACACAATCTTGGACCCAGTGATCACTTATCTCGTCAGTGGTTATTGATGACAGCGCATTCTCCGTACTTTCGGAGCTTCGAGAACATTAAAATCAGTGGTCTCGAAAAACAAAAATTTATAGTGAATCACACCAGCCGCCGATCACCATACAGTAACTATAAGATAGGTTTTCGCCATTGGGAAGTGCATGGGTGGTTCACCGGTGTCCAACCACGTCTCCTGTTGTCGTAGAAGATCCACTTTTCATCACAAGTAATGATCCTTTCCAAAAAAGTATCGTTTTGATTGCGCAAAATCAAAGAACAGGCCTCAAAACGTGACAATTCCTGTCGAACGTTCAAATCGTGAAGCAACTTCTTTTCGAGCTTTTTGACCTTTCCAATACGTTTTGAACCAACAAAAACCGCATGACAGCTGACGTCCGCCTGTTTCGCCATCCCACGCACCGTGTGTGATGGGTCAGTCCCCACCAGGGTCCTCAGATCCTCATCCTAGATTACTGTAGATCGATCACTTCGGGGCTCATCTTCGAAGTTGAAATCTACAGAACAAATTTCCACAAACCAACGTCTTACAGTGCGTTCATTAATACTATCATTGCCGAATGCCTGGTTGATTTTTGGGACTGTTTCGGCAGCGCTTCCGTTCAATTTGAATTCGAAAAGAAAAATTGGCCGAAAATCGCTCAACGACATCATATAGCTATAAGCTGGGAAAAAAGAAATAGCATCAATGTATAGAGTACAAAATTCTGTATCGATCAGTAGAATAAATATTTTTATTGATATATGGAGCTACAAAAACACATGACATTGAAACGGACAAAACTTTTGAAACAACCTGAAGCTTGTCGCTCACTTGTCTGATACTGTACAGCACGGCGCTGTCCGTTGCCTAATGGCGACGGGTAGTAGCATCGCCCATTTGTCCAGCTACAATCAGCATAATGAAGGTGCTGTTTGTTCGATTTCGAGAGAATTTCACTTGACATCGAGCGGTGACAGAAACATGTCTATCACTAGTAGAAGAAGTCGTCATTATAGTTGCCGCATTATTGAATGTAAAAGAAAATAGTCACAAAAAAAAGTTGTGGGTCCATCCCAGTAATCAAAAGAGGGCAAATCTGAAAGAGTTTCATCATCTTTTAAACGATCTGAAATTTTTCATTTTTCCAGTATTTCCGAATGACTCCAGGCATTCTGGATATTCTAGAGCCTGCCTTAACAAGCAACTTAATTTTTCCTCGTCCATTTTCATAGGTACCGTCTGAAACTGTGTTGCCAACTGATAGAATAGCAAAACAGAAAGACAGAAACTTCCCAGGCACTTTTGGACAAGTTGATGCTGGCAAGCGCTGGCCTGCGAAGCGCTCACTTGGCTAGTCCGTCACAGAACGTTCCGTTATTTGCCTGTCAGGATCGGAGAGCTGAAATCCTTTCCGGCTGGAATCCGACACTTGTCCGGCACACCAGCACGCCCCGTCCCGTAAAAATACGGATAGGATTGGAACAATCAACTTGTCTAAAAGTGCCTCGGAAGTTTCAATCTTTCCGTTTTGCTATACCATCAGTTGACAGCACAGTGTCAGACGGTACCTATGAAAATGGACGAGGAAAAATTGAGTTGCTTGTTAAGACAGGCTCTAGAATATCCAGAAGTTATGAAAATTTGCCTGGAGTCATTCGGAAATACTGAAAAAATTTCTCCTCGTCTTCTTTCAGGTCGTTGAGAAGATGATGAAGCTTTCCCAGATTAGCCCTCTTTTGCTTAATGAGATGGACCCACAACATTCTTTTTTGTGACTATTTTTTTCTACATTCAATAATGCGGCCACTACAATGAGGACTTCTTCGTCAGAACTGCTAGTGATAGACACGTTTCTGTTTCCGTTCGATGCCAACTGAAATTTCCTTGGAATCGAACAAACAGCACCTTCAGTATGCTGGTTGTAGTTGGACAAGTGGGCGATGCTATTATACCCGTCGCCATCAGGCGACGGACAGCGCCGTGCTTTACTGTGCCGGACAAGTGAGAGACAAACTTGATTGTTTTCAAAATTTTTGTCCGTTTCAATGTCATGTGTTTTTGTAGCTCCATATCTCAATAAGAATATTCATTCTACTGTGTCATGGTGCATACTGATCGATGCAGAATTTTGTACTCTATACATTGATGCTATTCCTTTTTCCCCAGTTTATAACTATATGATGTCGTTGAGCGATTTTCGGCCAATTTTTCTCTTCGAATTCAAATTGAACTAAAACGCTGCCGAAACAGTCCAAAAAATCAACCATTCATTCGGCAATGATAGTGTTAATAAACGCACTGTAAGACGTTGGTTTGTGGAAATTTGTTCTGTAGATTTTAGCCTCGAAGATGAGCCCCGAAGTGATCGATCTACAGTAATTTAGGATGAGGATTTGAGAACCCTGGTGGAGACTGACCCATCTCAAACGGTGCGTGGGATGGCGAAAGAACTGGGAATCAGTTTCTATGCAGTTTTTGATGGTTTAAAACGTATTGGAAATGTCAAAAAGTTCGAAAAGAAGTTGCTCCACGATTTGAACGTTCGACAGGAATTGTCACGTTTCGAGGCCTGTTCTTTGATTTTGTGCAATCAAAACGATACTTTTTTGGAAAGGATCATTACTTGTGATGAAAAGTGGATCTTCTACGACAACAGGAGACGTGGTTGGACACCCAGGCACTTCCCAATGGCGAAAACCTACCAAATAGTTACTGTATGGTGGTTAGCGGCTGGTGTGATTCACTATACATTTTTGCAACCGAGCCAAACCATCACACCAGAGTCCTCTTGTGAGGAAATCAATGAAATGTACCGAAAATTGCGTCAGCAGCAGCCGACACTGGTCAACAGAAGAGATCCGATCCTGCTCTACGACAACGCCCGTCCGTCCATCAGTAAATTAAACGAATTGAGCGTCGAAGTGAGGCAGAACTTCGACGCCCATCATACTCCCCAGACCTCTCGCCAACCATATTTTCAAACACTTCAATAACTTCAAGCCAGTGGAACCTTCGCCAATCAGGATCAGACAAAAACAGCCTTTTTCGACTTCATCGGATCCCGAGTACACACACTTTTCATGCTGACGGAAATAAACGACTTGTGTTACGTTGGCAAAAGTGCACTCATTCAAATGTCACTTATTTCGATTGAATTTAATAATTTTCCACTGAGATATTACATTTTGAAGTATCAATATTAATGGGGGGATGATAGAACGGAGCAGCTGAACTCATTAGTATCGAGGTTCACTTATCCGCTATTTTGGTTTCTGGACGAGTTTGGGCATTTTTGGTACTTTTATCAATTTGGCAACTTTCAAATTTGACGTATGGTTTACGTGTTGTTTATGTGAAGTAAATAGATGTTATCTTCGTTATTACAAACCCAGTAGTTTCTCCATTCCAAATTCTCTATTGATTATTATTCTCTATATCACATCTTTGTGATATAGAAAGAAATTAATGGTGTGTTATATAATGCTTCTAGCCACGACCAGAGATGGGATGAGAGAAATATTTTCGACTTGTATATGGGGAACTGGTATGGAATATTTAACACGCTTTTTTTGAATAAGAACCTCCGCATATCTCTCAATATGTTTATTGATTCATGAATATGTTGCGGAATGAATAAATTCAATTTATTTACATATTTTGATGTTCAAACCGTTTGCTCGCTGAATCTGAATTAATTATAATTAATGGAAATTTACATTTTGGTAAATGTCCTATTTTCTTCAGTAGGAGTTATCGTTACCGCTTCCATCATATTTTTCTTAGTAGGTTAGGTTTTCCTTACAATATATTCGATTCGATAATGGAAAAAACAAAAACGCCAAAAAGTAATAATCTCCAAAATTCTGGATATTTCACGTGGTGTACATCACTTAGGTAAACTTAGTCGAATTTTCCAGCAATGAATGATTCATGATTTAAAACAATGTAAACGAACTAAATAATCTCAGGAAGGTTTCTTGCAAGGGCACAATCATGGGTGTACTAAAAATCATAACCAGTCATAGTGAATTGAGTGGTGAGCCACACTTTGACATCGACCACCAAATGGCAATTTCTTGCCTTCCTGTAGCTCTCAATGCAACAACTCCATTATATATTCCTCAAGGCACGCCTGAAGACGTCATTGTATCGCGAAATACATGTTACGTTTTTGTAAAACTGTTTAGGGTCAAAATATCACAATGAAGTGTTTTTTTGAATACATTATGGATTTTCATTGAGTATCGGCCAATTCCATCATACAACTCCATTATATGGTTGGAAATTAATCGTCGAACCATATATGCCGGCCTTTTGAGGAGTGAACTTGTCACTCTTAGCTGTTTCCTTTCGAAGAAATATGAGCAAAAACACCCCACTCCTGATCCAGCCAATACTAGTATTGAGGTTTACGGTATTTCTATCTTTTCATCTCCTAAAAGTAATAGGGTAGCTGCAGAGAAATTTATCGTTGAGATAATAGGGTTGGATTCGATAAAAAAGACGTGTGGATCTCGAGATCCTTCATAGGAACGAAATTCCTTATACTTTTGCCTGCTGTAAGATGTGTGAAAACATTAGTTAAGAAATAATAAAGTAATGAATAATAAATGTAGGAATTGTAATATACAGGGTGTCCCTGGACTTCCTCTTTTCCTCTCGATCAAACTCAGTATGAACATGGCTCATTGTCTCATGAGTCACGTGTTGCCCTTTTGTAAACTGCTCAGTGAAAATTTCACAATGAGGTGTTACTTGACTACGTTATGGATTCTCATCCAGTATCATCCAATTCCATCACATATAAATTATCAACATATAAATCAATATTATCGTCAGTATTACTATTGACACACTTTCCATAGCTAACATAGATACATGTACTAGATAACTAGATAGTGGATGGAGAAACAACAACAAACTGACGAATGACACTTTTGTTTAGAAGTTTTGTCGCAAGTAACGGAGTGAGTCAACGGAGTATCTCCACCGACATATGCCAATGAGTATCTCTAACAAAAAAAAATGTTTCAACCATTCATGAGCTCTATCTTCAGCTTGTAAGTTAGACTGAGCCGCCGCCCCGTCTGCAAACTACGTACGGAAGTAACTCCTCAGGAGTAGAAGTCAGAATAATAAATATATTTCGGAGAGGTGTATACCAAATAACCAAATTCTGGTGAAAATACCAAGCCTTTCCCTCTCATGTGAGACGTACGATTTTCTAGGTACTTGTGAGAGATATCCGGTTGAGAAACAACAAAAAATCAGCTAATGCCGCAAGAATGTTGAAGTTAAATCATTAGACACCTATACAACGTATTCCGTTTCGAACTTCCTGAAAATGAAGAGCTAAAATCAATTTCATTTGGTCGGGATGATCATCAACAGATCGGTTTCGAAGTACTAGCTCCTCGTCAGTGCTGGAAGGTTCAGTTCAGATGGAATGACCCGTATGAATATCCCGAACAAACAAAATTCATTCAAACTATTCGTAAGCTCTGCCTGCAGCTAATTTGCAAAAATGAGCCAACGCGCTCTCTACATGCTAAGTTCGGAACTATACAGTTACGGAAAGTCGGAAGAATAAAGATATGAATAATTGAGAACAAGAATGAAGATCTGACGGGAACCCCGTTCCAATGAAATAACTGAAATTCCACACGAATACTGCATTGTTATTCAGATTGCTTCAATTGTTATTACCTTCACAGATGTAACATGATTTGTAGCTTGCCTGGGCTTCTTAGGAATGTCGATGTTCCATTGATGGTGCACAGCGTTCTTGATTTCACCACAAGGTTCGCCAAATATCAAGCTGCAAGTGTCAGCTGGATCTTTAAAAATAATTTATAAACAAAATATTTCTAAATTGTTGTATATCTGACTAAATTTTGTATCTAAGGTTACCTAAATTTGATGCATTGTACGCAGGAAGCAGCTCAGGAGCAAACACGTCAAAAAATCCTGCGCAAACTTTTTCAATTTCAATTTTGAATGAAACACATAAGCCGACAAATTGTGCTTTGATTGAATCAAAAGACGATCCTTTCTTCACCTCGGTTTGAAGCAGCCCAACGCCTAAAAAAATTCAAAAACAAAGCTCAGTTAATCTAATAAACATCAGCCTAAATACTTCTCTAGGAAGAGCTAGGAAAAACTGTTTCCACTGTTTATTATCATTATTGTTGTTACATTATTATTACATTTGGTAAAACGGTCTCTGTAATTTTATTCCGAAAGACAGATTTCTCCTATTGAAAAGGAGCTTTCGGAATATATTGAGGTGAACTTCTAAGCGGTTGAGCGATTGTGAGAAAATTTCAGAGGAAGCTATCGACGACCTCTTGTAGTAACTAATTTTGATAAAACTGTAAAGCAATGAACAAAAACCCTCCGATAAACTCACAATTCCAGACACGGTCAAATATAGCAAAAGAACGAGGTTATCTGTAGTAGCTTTTTTCAGGTGAAATACTTTTTTATTGATTAAGTTTTGTTTCATCCAAAGGGACACACATTTCAAAGACTGTCTCTTTGAGGTGTGTTCGATTTCCACGGATTGAAAAATCTACTATCACTGTATCTGCGGAGTAGGGACGGTGAGCACTTAGGCCACATGTGACCCATTGAACATCATCCCGAGGAGTTGTCCTCCTAGGTCATCGCCCATCCTGTCCTTTCCAGGAAGCCAAGACTCGCCGAACACATACTCTCTTATTGACGATAAATTCGGGCACTCACATAAGACATGCCTGACAGTCTCATCTTCCTGTTCACACATCCTACATAGAGGTGTGTCCACTAGCCCCATATTATGGAGGTGTTTCCTTAATTGACAGTGGCCAGTCATAAATCCTACTGTTAAGCGTAGAGTTTTCCTGGTCATCGCCAAATATTTCTTCGACGCCAGGGTCGCCCAGGGTGATCCTGGCAAGATTGCATCCTTTGATTACATCTCATCTCTTTAAGGATTGAGCATGGGTGTAACATTTGGCTAGTTCCGCAATTGTCGAAGTCATCAGGCCGTAGGTGCCACTGGGTCCTAAAATTCTTAGTCCAGCTGCTTCCTTGGCTAAAGAATCGGCAATGCGATTACCTCCACTTCTGTCGTGCCCTATAACCCACCTCAGGATAATGTTATTATCTACCGAGGCTCTGGCTAAATCTTGGTGGCACGTTATCTGTTTAAGGCTAATAGGGCTTGTCTGTTGTCAGTGCAGATTGTTCTGTTTTTGAGAGAAATTCCTTTCCTGGTTATTTCTTTTGTGGCGATTGAGATAGCAGCCAGTTCTGTTTGGACCACGCTGGTATTTTTCCCATTCCCCACTTAATCCTTAGGCTTAGTGATCTGGAGTACACTCCACATCCTGAGCCTTCTATGGTTTTTTAGCCGTCTGTATATATGCGTATTGCATTTGTAGCATCTGACTCTGCGTTCTGTTTTATTTGTATTTTGTAGGGTTTATTAAACACAAACCTGGGTTCAATTGCATCACTGGTTGCGCGGAAAGCGCTTCGCGCCATAGGCTCAGTCTCAATTAACCCATTCCTACTTCGAGGTTAACACCAGCCGTGCGCAATCATAACATGGCCATTAACGCTAACGCTACGTGCAGGTCCAGAGGGGTTATACCCGTAATTAATTTCATTGCCGCGATTGGTGTTGTTCTCATGAATCCTGTGATGTTCAAACAAGTAATTTACTATCACATCTCTAGGTGATCTCCTTCCTGGAACTGCCGTAACCATTACTTTGGGAAGAGAGAGGTATAAATGTCATCGAGGCTTGTTTTTAAGAGATCTGATACGCTTCTATTTTGTTGAAATGACCTATTTCATGAAGGTTTTCTGTACATTCCAGCTTTCCATATTATTAAAAATAGCTCCTATGAGGTTGTCTGGTGTTACGTTTCCTGCGATTATTTCTATTTCCACTCTTCTGTCATGCCGTTTATCAGAGCAAAATATGGTATGATCTATGTTATCTACTTCTCCACTTTCTGCTATTGAAAATATTTTCCTATATGTCCGGCCGGTTAGTTGCGCTCATTCTACGATCATACTATCCCCTTCAGTGGCTGGGTCAATTGCCCCATGTCAGAATTTTTCTCCCACCAATTTTACCATCTGTCTAACATATTCTGATATGCTGTCACTACAACCGAGTGACCTCTCCTTCAACATGGGTTTCGCGAGGGGGTATACCAAACTCTAAGATACGGGACTAAATAAGGAAGTGGGTAAATAAAAAACATAGAGTCCTGAGAAAATACATCTGGAAATACACAGCAGGGAACACACGCAGAAAAACCTCTATAAAAGGACCATTTGTGAAAAGGAACTTAAGATCTGCGTGAAGAGAGCAGAGCTCGACCCAGAATAAGTACAGGGCGCTACTCGCAGGGCATCCTCAATTTAGAGAGAACCTGAGCAAAATAGGAACGCATAAAGAAGACTTGTTGAAAGCAATGCTGCAACGGAACAGGGGCAGTCTAATTTTGTGCGAATTTGAGGTGCTAGATCACTAAAAGGCAAATATTATTTTCAGAGGTTTGATGACTTGTATGTCACTCTCTAAATCACTGTGTCATGTAGGTTGGGCCCATGCGTGGGAGTAAGTTGTAACACTAGCGAAGTTGGCAAACAGTAGGTCAGATTTTTCATATCAGTTGACGCTACGAGGATACTTTGGTGGTGATATATTCAAGTCTGAAAACAGGTTGAATTATTCAAGAAACACTTTATTGTGAGATTTGAATTAGTTGAGTCGATTTCGTTATATGCATGATGCAGACTTCGCTGCAAGACCGTTCTTCCCTTCAATATAAATCCTTCCTGGTATACACTGCAGAAGTGAAACAAAAGTTAATTAATAATTTACTAGACAGAAATAGATAAGAAAATAAAATTTAATAGCTCATTACCACGGGAGAACAATAACTGGATGGAGATAACTTTTTTGCATACTGAGTAGGAATACAAATAAATTTGTTACAATTTCTCGTCTGTCTCATGAAAGTCATATAAATAACAATCAAATCAAAAATAAGAAAATGCTACATAACTTTTTTTTTCTCATGAAATGTTGAGACACAAATTCTTACCTAATTGACATACTCCACATGGTACCCTTTCTTTTACCACACTTCCAATTTTCTTGGCCACCCTAAAAACTGTCTTATCGTTCTTATCTTCTAGAGAGTACACTTTGAGATCCTGAAAAAAATCATCTGTTCATATATTGTGAATGTTGGAGGTTCGGATATACATTGTCCAAAAAAACAGATTCAAAATATATGAGGAGAAAGAGAAAACAAAATATTGAAATATTGCAAATACAAAAAACATTAGGATGAGTTTGATAAAAAAGAAAATGATATTGTCAAATATAGAAAATAATCATGAAATAATTCAAATTCATTTGAGCGAAGACATACATACAAAAACACTCAGTATTCAGAATTCCATCTTTTGATATTCCAAGTTCATAGACATCGAAATTGATCCGATCACAGGATATAGAAATATAAAACAATCTTCAAATACGCAAACTTTGCACAGATTGCATGCTGAGCATTTTACCTCAGTACAGTGACCAGATCAAAGTTGCAATGTCAGCGTATAAATCTTCATAAATATTGGTGGAGGTCAAGATCATGAACAGACAGTATTCAGAAATTCATTTGAGTATCTATCGATCATCAGCAACGCAGCACACCTCCTTCTCTTCAATCCTGCTGGGTGGCAGTTTAATGTAAGTTTTTGGTGTTTTCATGAATTTTTTTTTATTAACATTTGAGTGTGAGTTTATTCCTAAACTATTTTTCCGTTTCTTTAAAATAAATAGGTATTTAATTAAGTTTCTAAATGAGTTCTTTCATTATTTTGTATGAATGATGAAGGGGTGAAACAGCAAATAAAATTCTCTCATTAATAGCCAAGGGAGTACTGAGTTACGACAATATCAAATAAAGAGAAGAAATACACAGGAAGTTACTTTCAATGGGGGAGAAACTTCTATGAGCAACTAGATGGCGTTGCTATCACTTAGCCCAGTGATAGCTAATTATTTTATGGTACGGTTTGAAGGAAAGGCGATAGACACTTTTGGATTGAAACCTACCTTATGGCTACGTTACGTGGATGACACCTTCGTCATCTGGAAACATGGAAGAGACACCCTGAACCGTTTTCTAAACCACTTGAACGCCCAACACCCGTGCATAGAATTCATCATGGAGATTGAGCAAGACCAACGGATAGCATTCCTAGATGTACTAGTAGAACGATGTGGTACGAGACTGACCCACAAAATGTATCGAAAACCCACACACACAGATAGATACTTGCACGCACTATCGAACCACCATCCTAGCCAAAAGAGAGGAGTTATCTCCACTCTAACTGAACGGGCTCGGAGAACAAGTGAACCAGAACATCTGGAGAGGGAACTGAAATACCTGGAAGTGACCTTGAGATCGAATGGGTACAGTGCCTCCGAGACCAGAAGAGCCATGAGACCGAAGAGCAACACGGTTCAGAAAGCGAAAAAGGATCAGATGGTGACACGCGCATATCTACCGTTTATCCCTATGGTATTGGACAGAAATGGAAAACTATTGGATAAACACGACATCGAAACAGTCTTCAAACCAACGAAGAAGATACAACAAAGCCTCAGGTCGGCTAAAGACAAAAGAGACCCATTATCAGCAGGAAGGGTCTATCGCATTCCGTGCACTTGTGGAAAGGTATATCTCGGTACCACCAAACGATCCATGGGAACAAGATTAAAAGAGCATAAAAGGAACTGCAGACTAGGCCAAACAGACAAGTCAGCTGTGGCAGAACACGCACTGAGCGAAAGAGACCACAGAATCTTATTTGAAAACACATAACTAATTGCCCCCAACCAGGGATACCATAGCCGACTGGTACGCGAGGCAATAGAGATCCACAAACACACGGATAATTTTAACAGAAAAGAAGAAGCGGTGAACCTCCATCAAATATGGAACCTCATTTTAAGGAATTCGAGAATAACGAACAGGACAACAGGCAGCAAGCCATGATGGTTAAACCTCTGAAGAAGCTAGCCACTCGCGCCAGCGAAACGTCAGGAAGGAATTCCAAAAATCCACGGCTTTCAAACTCGAAAAGCAATGACACTGAAAACCTCAGCCGTGAAAGTCTAAACCATTTTGTCAATACACAATGAGTATGACATTTTGAAAATAAAGAAAAATCATTTCAAATCAATCATTTCTGAGTTATATCAGGAATATTCCTTATATTTAGAAGCTATTTATGGGTCACTTGGACGCTTTCCGCTCTCCTATCGGTTTTCTGCTTCAGTACACTATAATCCTTTCTCACAATCCACGCTAGCCACGCTGAATGTGTCGCTGTTCAACACTTTCCTTCAAACCAGTATTCCTCCCATGGATGCTTTCAATTAATTACGGACTACTCGATGTTGGTGCTCAGATTTTTTGGTTCCTCCTCGCGGGGGGTTTCTTGTGGTCTCTAATAAAGACTTCCAACGGTCTCTTGGTATCTGATAAATGTCATGCTACCGCGTTTGGTAGCATGACATTTGTGGGGCTGCTACGGATGATGTTCCTGGATCTGAAGCAATTTCTAAAGTGGTACTTAGATTCTACATTATTCTCATTCTCTCCAATAGTCCTGTGAAGTAAAGAAGTTATTGTGGCGGCTTCTTACGGGACTCTTCTGTCTCTTTGCCAACGTTTGTTTCTTCAGCACTTCGAAGCGACCATCCTATCGAAATACTTCTCTGGTGTAGCGCGAAACATTTTTTCGTGTTACAAATACTGAATAGACTCATCCGAATATATTGCTTCTGGTGTTTGTATGTTTTAGAAAATATTTTCAATATTTAATTTTTTATTAATTTTTCTTCTAATAAATTTCAAATTTTACAATGTAAGTTGAAACCTTTAACATTCAGTAAGACACATTGTCAATCACATTCAAACAAGCGCATATACAATGCGTCACATTTAAGATGGAGACACCCCGATATTTTCGTTATGGAGAGGAGTACAGCTTTAAATTCTCTCACAGCACAACTTGATGTATCACATCATTTTTCAGAATACTCAATTGAAATCTGGACTTCAAACTTGACCTACTACGTTTATAATCTGTTTGAAATCTGTTTTTCCGTTAACCTGCTGTCGCACTCCTACGAACGATAACTTTCAGAAGTCGAAACTTGTGCCAGATAAGGATTAACGAGGTCTTACCTTTTAACGTGTGATTCCTAATACGGGTTGGACGATAGCAAGTGAAAATCGATCATTCAGACTAGGGCTTGAACCACCGACCAACACGGCAGTCAATTCGAGTGAGTGAACATAGCACCCACGTCAAACCACCTGGCTACCGACCGACCGACCAACGTGTTCATAAACATCAGTTCTCGATATTTGGCTTCACGTGAGAGATAGTGTTCGCGCGCTAGCGAAAAGCGTTAGAATACTCCTGTTGGTGGAGGTAATACTCTTCCAAAATGACTACTCATTCGAAGATGTATCCTTGCCGAAAGGGTGAGCTGAGCCCAGTCACTGTCACTAAAATAATATTTGATATACCGGGCGCCCGGTATATCAAATATATCTCCTGAATCTACAGGAGATGGAGGTCGACTGAACGACTTCAACTGTCCCCCCTGTAATATCGGATCAAGAGGCATCCAAACCAGAGGCTAAAAAGCCCTTCATGGCTGAAGATATAGCTAACTTCAAATGTCTGCGTTCATGACCATCCAACAACCTCAATATCGACCAATCAACTGGAATATCTTCAGTATGCCACTGTGGCTGCCGTAGATAATATTTCAGAAGATGGTCTATAGGTATGATTTCAGAGCTACACATTCCGGCCTGAGGCACCTTCCGGCTGTCTTCCTGGCAGTTAGTAAACTACTGCCATGAAAGAGCGTCTCTTTGAGATGCCTCACAGAAAACCTACTTTTCAATCCACACATTTGTGTTGCTTACCTACCACGAAAGTATTCGAGGACTGACCGCCAAATAGGTTCTTCATTAGACTGTTAACCCTGGGGAGGATTAATCTTCGTAGGCCTGTGCCTGCATCGCCGCGAACCAGATCAGGTTTTCAGCATTTCGCAGAGCTCCACTCTTGCGAGATGACCTAAAAGATTACTCACCAAATGAAATAATTGGCTTCGTTAGGAAGCCGTTAGGAAGAAGTTAGGATTTATGTGGTTTGAATGGGAGTGAGATAAACCTTTGCCGTTTGCAGTGCAGCATCGGGAAAACCTATTTACTTCTGACCTACTTTACCTAGAGGTACCGAAAAAAAAATGTGGTTCAAAAATTTGTTCGGAATATTATTCTGATTCCTTTAGGAATTTTGGGGACTAAATTCTCATTCCATCGTTTTTTCATTCATACTCAATATTGTTAGCAGTTTATTTATTTAATTTGATAACTAGTGTGCTAAGGAAACAAAAACAACTTTCAATATGAAATTGTGACCCAGATCTGCTCATCAAGACCGTAATGGTGAAGTTATCATTCTTATCGGTTGGTGGCATAAAAATGGCGAAAATTCCAGAAAAGTACGGCTTAGGAGAGTATTTGTAAATAAGAGGAAGATGTTCAAATCTGTTGCGAAGTTCTGAACCCGACAATCATTTTCGGTAAAGGACACCAATGAGAAGAGTTCGTATTGAGTCGGAAAGTTCACCAGACGCTGTAAATGAATATCAGCAAAAAATTTTACAGCAGATAGGACTGTCTCGGTTTTTCTGGTGAATAAATAAATGTGTCCTCTAGTAGTATTGAGCTATAGATATAAAGTTGTATATATGACGTAGAAACTGAATCAGTGAGGTTTGCAGTGTTGATTGTTGATGATTCTGGTATTTAGTCACCCTATTGTTCGGGCATCATATTGCTTTTCATTCCTCGAACAGTACTCTTTGATCCTGACACTGGAATGTTTTTCAGCTTATCAATGGTATATTTAGTACCTCAACAAGATTCTAACGGTTTCAGAAAGATAGTCATTCATTACATTATTCAAAAAATAAAGATCCTCAAGCCCAATGTTCACGGTATAGGGAGTGGTCATCAGTTAATAATGCTGACACCAGCTCAATGTATTGTACCTTTCAATAGAGCCTTATCCTGGTTTCCGGTACAGTACGAGGTGACCATAAATCTGATATCAAGTTGGAGCCATGAGACACGTAAGGATGGACTCCTTATTACGTAGCTTTCTGTAGCTGTTCATTCAATAGTGTCTTCTTCAATAAAATAGAATTGTTTTTCAGGAAGGAGTTTTCAGCAACTTGTTGTCACCTATTGGTTATGAAGGTTCTACGAGTATATACCAAATACTAGGCCTGTCATGAGGCAGCTGATGCATTTGCTGTAGGTATGTCATATACGGTCTTAGGTTATAACTACATTAACGAGTTCTGTACTTATTACTAAGTTTGACTCATACAGTTTTGAGCGAGATACCTGTTGCCGTACAGTCTCGGGAAAAATTGAATATGTTGTGAGACATAAGTGTGTCGAATAGTGGAACTACAGATTCCCCAATCTCGATCATAGTACTAGGACGATATTTTATGTGAATTGAATATCACCCTGAGCACTAAGACAAATACACAAGGCGCTGTGATTCATGGTTCATCACATCTACTCAGGACACACGGTTTCTAAACCAATGATCACTTACTCCACGATGTAGATCGTGGTCACCAATCGGCGGGCGAATAATTTTTATTTAAAAAACAATAGTAATAACCAAAGGCTCACACGTTGACAGTTAAGATCTCGTTGATTCTCAACTAGCACAAGTTTCGGTATTTGAGCTACGAAATCCATATTAAACTCATTTTTCAAATTCATAATATAGAGTCATTGTGAACTTACCTTCTCATATTCGTAAGTTGCTGGAAGAATATGATTTTCCAACGGTTCTTGAAGAAGTGGTGTATTGTGCGGTTGCAGTTTATAATTCCACGTATCTTCAAAATTGATAAAATCATTCACTGGTGCTGTACCTGAAGAAGAATAATTCATGTAGACAAGATAATTTCATATTATGAACAATTTATTTCAGCTTTTCTCAGTACGGTTGACTAAATCGGGTGATCATGTAGGCCACCAAGGAAAACCTTTAAAATAATGTGTATTGCCATAGAATAATGTCAACCAGTTTAATGACTGCCAATTTTTGAAGCTTTCTGTGTTATTACCTCGTTGAAAAATTCACAACCACGTCGAAAATATTTTTTATTCAGCGTTTCATATGAGTGACTAAACATTATTATTATTATAAAAGGTGGTAATAGTAAGAACGTTATTCGAAAACCCATGTTTTTCTATTTGTTTGACATTCACAAGCTCTGTTGAAAAATCCACGACCTTGGTTTTGAATCGTTGTAGATTATATTTATTTGGAAAAACCGTCTCAGGAAATTCCTTTTATAAAAACAAAGTTATCCAAACGGAAGAATTCTTAAAAAATATAGTTCAAAGCGTGTTGAGTTGAACTTCGAAGCGATGGGTAGCCTACTCCTGACATTTCCTGACTCCCCAACATTCCTTTGATGTTTCTGAATAGAATCTAGCAACCTTAGGTAGGAGCTCTATATATGTAAACAAGATACCAAAGACGATCTAAATTGAGTTCATCAAGCATTAGCTGGAGTACCCCGAGTCGCTCAGGGAATTCAACTGAAAAACGTTTATTCGCCAATTTTTGATACATCTGGTTACTTTATACATGTCTTGTTTGACGGACTTCTGTTCAAGGCTTAGGCCGCTTCAAGGACTCGCTCAGGAAGTTAATGAGAGATTGTGTGATACTTGGAATGAAAGGATAAACTTTAATTATAAGAGGTCGATGGAACTTGTTTTATATACTCTACCAAGACCTACATAAAAGATTTCGAGTGATCCACAAAATTTCAGAACAATCCCCAACATTCGAGAATGTTCCACTTCGATCTAGGATATTTTTTTAAGGACAAAACACAAGCACTACAGGAAAATCCTAAAGGCGCTCTTAGAATAGTGCTTGTGCGAAACTAGCGATTCGCATTGGATTTGAATCGCTGGAGATTGAATCCATTTGGAAAAATGTTCTCAGGAAGTTTGATCCACATGAACACAGTTCTCCAGATTAAAAAGTTCTTATACAATGAAGTTCGAGGTGTACTGAGTTGAACCTCAAAACGATGAGAAGCCACAGTTCGTCGTGTATACCGTTCTTGGTGGAATCAAATGTGAACACTTTCCTCGAAATTATCTATAGAAGAGAGGCTATCAAGGTTGTACGTGATGTTCGCGTGTCCTAAGAGGCGGATGGCTCTTTTCGGGATGGAATCCAACAACTTCGGGGTATGTTTGGGGGCAGAACTCCATACTTGAAAACAATACTCCAAAGAAGGTCTGATCTGAGCTTTATAAAGCATAAAAAGTTGCTGAGGTGTGTATAGTGTTCTGGTTTGGAACACTGTTCCAAGCTTTTGAGAAGCAGCCTTTAAAATTTCAGCGACATGATTTTGCCAAGACATATGGTGTCCATTTCAACCTTCAACAAACTTATCGAAGCAGAAAGCGGAATTGTCTGACTTGACATTATTATATCCGGTTCGGAGACATTCATCTTCTTGGAGAAAACCGATGCCTGGGTTTTTGTGGCATTGAATTGAACCTAGTTACTTTCACCCCAATTCGAAATCACTTCTAGATCCTCATTAAGATATGCAACCTCCTGCTGCCGGTGAAAATGTACCTCCGTAGCCGATGTCCTGAAATCTAAATGGAATGACGAGACAAGTGTGCTGTCGTCAGCAAAGCAATATATTGGATTTTTGTTTTTTTTCAATAAGTCGTTGATATTCAATAAAAAGAGGGTTGGATACAATATGGATTCCTGGGGAACACCAGCGTTGATGGTGAAAGTATTCGAGAGATGTCCATCGACGGCCACTTGCAGGGAACGTTCTTTTTAGGAAGCTGGAGAGCCATACACAGAAATAATCCGACAAGCCATAGCATCGAAGTTTGGCCAGCAAACCCTCATGCCACACACGGTCAAAGGCCTTAGAAATATCAAGCGCAACATGATGTTCCCAATGGTCCCAGACTATTTTCAAATATTTCACAAGACTCCAGATATGGCCGCCTAGATGTTCTGAAATATTGTGGAATGGTCTAGAATACTCTGGAGTGTTCTAGTAAACACATGATTTTCAGGTATAAACGGGAACCTTCTTCACGGATGGAGGACGAAGGGCTATCACACTATATAACTCAATTGATCGTACCGGGACTCGTTTCTGAGTTTTAGTGACATGCACATTGTTCATTTCCTTCCATAATTATATACTGATGTGAAGTTGTTGAGATGGTGTTTGTTGGTGTATGGTTTTTTTATGAAAATGGTGTTTTTATGAAAAACTTCATTTTATATATCGGTAACGTGACAATACATATCCAGTTGGACATCCAAAAAATAATTCTGAGCAGTTAGTGAAACCGTGTACTGAGATTATATTTGTGTCCGTGGACCAGTATTTCCTCATCACGTAGGATAAAGTTGATATAATACTAATGATCTACGTGAAATATCAGTGTCGCAAGGCACGGCGTGAAAACTATACTTTTTTTGCTTATTATAAAAACAATATCACTACAATGAAAAAAACAAGAAAAGGGCACCTTATGCCTACTAAATATTTTAACGAAATAAATCACTGTTATAGATAAATATACAGGGCTATTCAAATTCGTTTCTGTACACGGGGATCTCGTAAACGATAAGAGATAGAGTGTCGGTTAAATTGTGGTAAAGTTGTATATTTTAGAGACCTATTCAATGATTTAAAGAAATCGAATATAGCTCTTTCGGTTCTGGAGATATACAGGAAAAACCAAAAAATCCCAAATTATTTTTTTGCCTATATCTTCTTTATTCGCAGACATATTGAAAATCTGACCACATTTTGCTATTGGCACTTGATGTGGGCTCTCAGAATATATCCATGAATCTTTTATACAGGGTGTCATCTGACTGAGATGTCATCATACTGAGAAATTAAATTCAATTTTATATTTCGGGATGTTTCGGTAATATTCGATTATAATTGTGTGAATCATTCCCTTTTAAATTACGGCCCTGGAAATTGGTTGACTGAGTTGAATAAAAACATAATAGCAAATTTCACGTCTCCCTATGTATCGTAGTTTTTCGAATTTTTTTTTCATTTTTAGGTATCTATTTATATTTTTTCCATTGCTCTGAGTGTTTTCTACAATGAACTTCGAATAAAAAAACCTTCTATGATTATTTGAAACATATCTACTTCAAAAAAATATTATATGTGTTTTAATAAGCAGAAAAAAAAAATGATAGCAATAATAACATTCGAAACGAACACTATGATTGTAATGAAAATTGTAATGAAAATAAAGCACCGGTAAAGTACGTCATTAGATAATTCCATTCCAGTTTGGCGGGAGATATTCGAAAATGTTTTGATTAATATTCGAGTTACTCAAAATACAATCAAGATAATGTTTAAAAAATAAAACGGTGTCATACTAAACTATTGTATGAAGAATGTAAATTGCTTAATATCAGAAGCATATACCTATATCAATGCTTCATTTGAATGTTTAAAAATAATTGTACATTTTCAAAGTGCAATAACACCAGAAGTGTTCAGAATCTCGATGTAAATGTACATTGTCTTTCAGTGACTCCTATTGTTTGAAAAGGTGTTAACATATTTGAAGTCTATGGAAAAACGAATGAAATGAAAATAAACGAAATGATTAAATTATTGAAAATGTTGAAAATAACAAAACCGAAATATTTGGGCCAGTCAGTTAAAACAAAAATAACGTCAAGAAGAGGGGAAAAATGAGCAATAGTGAATAAATAATAATAAAGTATAAATATTTTTCAAAAAATTGTGAGAACGCTAGTTTGTGAAGAAACCAAATTACTGTGATCTGAAATGAAAAACTGAAATGTCAATTATATACGAACAATGAAAATGCAAATGAAGACGATAACATCTCCCTTTATGAAGATGCCTTGGGAACGACAGAGAATATCGCTCAGGCGCTCAGTTGCAAAGTCAAATTTCAAAATCGACCGCCGACGAGATTTGTCCTCTGCCTTTCAGTGCAGCTTTCACTGCATGGCAACTATTTGTAAACTAGAGCTCAAACACAATGTATTTATGATTCAACACCAGGTCTCCTCAGTGGTACTAGGCTAAACCACAAATGCGTGAGCGGTGTTTTTCCTGAAAGTCAACTCTGTAGTGGGATACAAATTGTTCAGAGAGTAAATTTGCTTTTTCTATGTTGTTACTATAGAACAATTCGATGCAATTTTGACTAAGGCCCTTAGCTACTAGCCAGAAAGATATAGAAACTTTTGTGACTGACAAGCAGTCCGTTCCTACTTTTCTAAACGTACATTTCTTTATTTTCATTTATTCTCGATTTGCATTTGTTGGGAGAATTAACAAACCTGATACGATTTTCAGCAGTGGAATAATGACGCCCTTAAAGAAGACAGCTTGCTCGCCACTTTTGTTGAACCATGGTTAGTTAATGAAAAAAAAAAGAAAACAAGTAATAAGAATAAACAAAAGATTTATCACCGTTGTGTCAACAAAGGAAATGTAATGTTACGCCTATGGATTCTTAAATAAGTTGCAATCTTAGTGAATCATCATTACATGATAAAAAATTATATCTATTATTTGTTTCATATCTTCGATTTGTTGCGTTAGAATCCACTTTTTTATTATGCGTGTTATATTGTAGTGAACATATATCACGTTAGTATTTTTCCCATTCCTCACTTAATCCTTAGATCACCAAGCCTAAGGATTAAGTGGGGAATGGGAAAAAATACCAGCGTGATCCAAACAGAACTGTTTGAAAAAAATCTGTTTAAAATATTTCTTTTCGTTATCCAGCTGTCGCACCACTACGAACGACAACCCTCAGAAGTCAAAACTTGTGCGAGCTAAGGATTAACAAGGTCTTAT